TCTCCAATTTTAATCTTTCTGATACTTGCTGATCATTATGCCGATCTTTTGTCGCTCTTGTATTTGATTCATATTATTAAGTGTATCCTGTTTATCTTATTCTAATTTGTCAATTAAATTTGTTAATCTATCCATCAGAGCATCATTAATATTTTGCTCATCTGTTTCAACAGAATTTAATTGCAAATCTATTGGTAACATTGCTTGTCGTCCATATATGAAGTAAAATAGAGTGTAACCTGTACTTTTATGTTTCATTGTTTGGTAGGCAAATAATACTGATGAAACATGTGTATCCCATTCATTTTCTTGATCGTATACTAATTTGGCAAACACTCTCCTATAGTTCGATTAAATCTTTCTACCATTCCATTTATTTGAGATCAGTATGGTGATGTCAATCGATGTTTCATTTGAAACTTTTGACATAATTGTGCTATTACCTAATTCATGAATGATGTTCCTCGATCTGTAAATATTTCCTCAGATGCATTATGTCAGCATATCACTTCTTTATATAGAAATTTTGCTACCATATCAGCCTTAATATCCTTAATAGCTTTAGCTTCTGACCATTTTGTAAAGTAGTCCATTGCAACTATTATATATCTATTCCCTGTTTTTGTAATAGGTAATAGTCTTTTTATATCTAATCCTATTTGACGAAAAGGTGCTTTAACTAAAATAGGATGTAATGGTTCTTTTCTGATACTTAGTCCTTTTCGTTGGCAGTTGTCATAATTTTTCACATATTCTCTAATATCCTTGAACATTTGTGGTTAATAATATCATTCTTTAGCCTTATTGTATATCACTTCAATTCCTAGATGGGCTCCTGACATATCTTTGTGTAAATTAAATAAGAGTACTTCCACTTATTCTCATGTAATCACTCTTTTTAATCCTTCCTTAGTTGGTTTGTATAATTGTGAGTTTTTAATAATATAGTGGGTTGATAATTGTTGAATTTGTTTCCGTTAAGAAGTATTGCAATTTTCTGTAAGTGAAGTTGGCAAGGTATTAAATTATGTTTTGATATTGTTGCTTATCCATGATCTATTATTAATGTTAAGGTTTGTGATGTATTTAGTACCTGTAATTCGTCAATACTTAAGAGAGTATTGGCGTTCACATTTGCCTTTCCTTTGCAATATTTTACTTCAAATTGAAATTGTTATAATAAAATCTTCCAATGAATAATCCTTTTACTATCCTTTTTTTTAGTGGGTTAATTCAACAACCACTGCAATACTAAGTGATCGGTATATATAATAAATGTATTATTCTCTAAATACCTTCTAAAATATTTAACTGTCCATACTACTGCTAAAGCCTTTTATTCAGTAATATGGTAATTTTTTCAGCTGGGCTCAATGTTCTGCTTGCATATCAAATAGGATGTTCTCTTTCTTCATTGTCCTTTTGTGAAAGTACTGCACCTAGTTCTGTAGTACTTGCATTAATACTCAAAATAAAAGATTGATTGAAATCAGGATAGGATAAGATTGGCGCAGTCGTCAATTTTTCCTTAAGTATTTTAAAAATCTCTTGATATTGTTTTGTCCAATTGTAAGACACATCCTTTTTCAGCAAATTGTTCAATGAGACTACCAATTTAGAATAATTTTTAACAAAACGTCAGTAATAAAAGAATAATCCTAATACAGTTTGTAATTGTTTAATATTGAATGGAGTATTGAGGTTAATAATCTTTTTAATTTTTGCCAGATCAGGCTGTATCCCTTGTTTTGATATTACATGTCCCAAAAATTGAATTTTGTTTATACAGAAATGGCATTTTTCTGGATTTATTTTCAATTGAGCTTCTTTTAATAAATTGAAAACCTGTTGGAGATGTTGTAAATATTCGTCATAACTTTTAGAAAATATGATAATATCATCAAGGTATATTAATACGAATTTTTCTTTTATTTTTCATAATATATTATCTATAGCTCGATGAAAGGTGGCTGGTATATTGTACAACCCGAATGGCATTACATTGAATTCATATAACTCATATTTCGTAATAAATGCCATTTTGGGTTTGTCCTGTTCTCTGACCTTAAACTGCCAATATCCTAAGCTAAGTCTAAGGTAGTATATCATGTTGCTTCTCCTAAGGATTCTAATAATTCATCAATCTTTAGTAAGGGATATCAGTCCTTTATTGTTACATCATTCAATTTCCTATAGTCTACGCAAAATCTCATTTTTTTATTCTTTTTCCTTACAAGAACTACGGGTGAGCTCTATTGACTTTAAGAAGGTCATATAATTCCTTGATCTAACATATTTTAAATTTTCTGCTGAATATATTGATCATCTTTTACTGACATTCAATATGATTTTAGTGCAACTGGTGGTACATCTTTGGTAAATATACAATGTTCATATTGCTCTGAATGTGTTAATTCCTGTGTTATGGTCACAAAACTATTAAGGATTTTCTCAAGAAATGCTTTTAGTTGTTTTAAAGAAGCATCTGTTAATTTTTCACAGGTTGTATATTTTCCTGAATCATTACCAATTTTTACTCAAATATCATTCTCTTTGATCTGAACTTTATAGGCAGCTTGTAAATCTATACTATTCCTATAGTATTGATAAGTTTATACTATCCTTACAATTTCTCTACAGTCATCACATTGGCCTTCATTTCCTAAATTTTTCAAACACCAACATGTAGTTGATCCTGTCTAATTTCTATTTTGTTGTACATCCATTTCATATTCAATTTGTTGTAAATATATTTCAGAATATTCCTTTTTATTTATTTGGATTACTTCCTCTTTTTCTTTGGAAATAATAGCAAAACATGTTGAATATCGATATCTTCCTCCTTTTCAAATTCTAATTCATCCACTATTATTTTAGGCTTGATTGGTGTAAACCTTCTTAGATGTATATCCTGCGTGCAAGTTATAGGCATTATAGAAGTTTGATCTCCTTGTTGTATGACTAGGATGCTAGTATCATAGTCAATGATTGCATGAACTTTTTGCAACCAGGTGTTTCCTAAGATAATATTATATCCCATAGCATTAGTTACTAGTATATCTTCATTAACAGTTATTCCATTGACTTCTACTGTAACTCCTTAATTATTCCTAAAGGTATCATAGTTTTTTCATCCACTCCTATAATTTTTGTTTTTATAGGTTTATCAATTTTCTTATTAATTTGCCTAAGATACCACTGAGTAATGATACTTCCTACAGATCTAGTATCTACTAGAGCATTTACAGGGTATTCTTCCACTTGGGTTTCAATAAACAATGCATCTTTACGCTATGTTTGCTAGGTTCAGTATGTTGAGATACTTCTTTATTTAGTATACGTTACAATTATATATAGGATCATTTAAAATGTATTTCAAGCGATCTTTATCCAATTGTATTTCAGTTTCTTCATCAATTTCTCGAATAATAGTCCTTATCGATGATTCTTCTAGTTCAACTTTCCTACTGACTGTTTGCCATAAGTTATACATTTCCTTATTTAGGTCAATTCGTTTTGAAAGATAGATTCCTTTGTCATCATATAAGATCTCTAACACATATTTCGGCTTCTTTTTAACAGTGACTTCTTCTTGTTGTTGAAGATCTACTGGTTTAATTGGCTGATTTTTACTGAAAATCCTTTTATCAGTTAGTGGATCCTTCTATTTTACTTCCTTACATTCGCATTGTGTTGCTATTCCTTTAGCAATTTTATTATAATTTGTATATACAATATGACTGTGGTAATCATATTCTCCACAACTAGAGTGATCATATTTGTTTTCATATGGTCCTCTGAATCGCATTTTTGAATTCATTCCTTTACATACATAAGGTACTTCTATTAAACTTGCTTTTGTTTTTGCTTCACCTTGACTATTCTCTTTTGCTTCTTCCTCTTCTTTCGCTTTTAAGGGCTTTGGTTTGTTCACACACTCATCCCTAAGAGATGTGACTTCTAGTTTAAATGCTGTTGGTTATTATTATTATTATTATTATTATTATTATTATTGTAGTTATTATTTTATTATTATTTCTATAATTCCTATTCCTGCTATTACTGCGGTTACGATTTCTGCTGTTATCATTATAATTTTGAAAGATTTGACCTCTATTATTGTTTGTACTCTTGCAATCTCTGGCAAAATAGCCACACTTCCCACAGTTAAAGCATTCAATATTTGATTGGTCATTATTCATACGTCAATTACTTTTACAATCTCTAGACAAGTGTTCAAATTTTCCACAATTAAAATATTTACGTGACCGTTACTGTGACCGTTGCTGCTGCTACTGTTGTTGTTGCTGTTGTTGCCCAATGTTTGCTATAATCGCTTGTAACCCTTCATTCAGTTTGCGATTAATAGTGCCCTCAATATCTGGTTGCTGTGTAATATATGTAGGTTGCATTGCTATACTTGTGCAAGCTGATACCATTCCTCCTTGTAATAATTGCATGTAATTAAGCATCAATGAATAGGCAGATAATTCCATTCCAATGGAATATGCAGATTCTACTACTCTGGCCTTTTCGATTGCTTGATCTACTGTTATTAGCATTGCTATTTGTACTGGTACCATAAATTCTGGTCGCAGCCCTTCAATAAATTCAGCAACTCTATCCATCTCAGCTCGCCTATACTGTGGATCGACTCGCTTTCATAGTTCTCCTATTGCTGCTGCATATTTCTTAATCGTTTTACCTAGTTTCTGTATCCTATACCTAAGCTGATGCTTCTATTGATTTTGTCGAAATGCATTGCAGAAATATTGTTCAAATAATGGTACTAAGACAGTACCGGGATTAATCCTACTATTCCAGTTAGTAACATATTATCGTTGAAACTATGTCAGTACTGTTTCTGTTAAATAACTGGAAACTATTTTAACCATTCGAGTGGTATTAATATGGTTTGCTTTACAAGCTTGTTCAAAAGCCTCAAGCCACTTCACTGGGTCCTGATTTTCTCTTCTAAATGTTGGTAAATCTACTAATCATTATTCTCTTATTTGTTGTCCTTGGAGCAATTCTGCTAGCCCTAGTATGACTTGGAGGTAGGCATTATCATTGTTTTCTCCTACTGGTACTATAGCTGGTTGAGGTATAAGTATTGGCTGAAAGATGTTTATATTATTTGACGGTTGACTGCTAGATACTGACTGAGAAGTTGTTGTGCTTGTTAATCAAAAACTACCCCCCAGGAGTTTGATGGTGATCGCATATTATATGGTTGGGCTACTGTTGTTGACTGTGGGATTCCTTTGGTAGTTACATTTTGATGTCCCATTGTATTATTTCTTCTGTTACTTGAGTTACTTTCAAGCCAACAGTTATTTACTGGTTGCCAATTTGTGGTTGTAAAACTAGAGGTTGTAGATGGGTTGCTATTTCAGAAAGGATCAAGTGATGCCAAGGAGTCAAATATACGACTATATTGAGTTGCTTGGGAAAAATTGTAGGGATTTCCCAATGATGATCCACTATTTGTATTTCCTACTGATGGAGTTGTTACCCTTAAATTTGATGGTCTTGACGATTGATTACTGGATAATATTGAGGCTACTAATTGTTGAACATTTTCTACTCTAACAGGGAATGGAGATCTTCTATCATTACTTGTATTAAATGTAACTCTTCGAGGTATTCTACTTGGAGTTCCTCCTCTCTCTAGTTCATTTGTATTGTCAAAGAAAGATGTTTCCTGTAATGTTTCATCATCATCATTAACATATCAAAATAGGATATTTTGTTCATAATCAGGGGTATATGTATTATTTTCTTCTTCATCATATTGCCTCCTATCTCTCAGATATGGTTGTTGTGGTTATACATACAATGGTATATTAGATGGTGGTTGAGGTATGGTAGTTTCTGATGGTGGTCCATACATTGCTACTGGCAGTGTCATCCCTGGAAAACTTTCATTGCTTTCCTGAAAAGGTGCTATGATAGTATCATTTTGATCCCTTTCCATATTTTCTGAGATATCACTACAATTGCTGTTTATAATTGAGTCAATACTGCTAACACTTTCAATTTTCCATGATTAAAACTGTTTTGTTTTTATCCAAATTTGATATAATTTATCAGCGATGCTATTAAAGGATTCCTTTAGTATATTGTTCCTATATCTAATTGTAGTAACAATTTTTCTCAATAAATATTTCAATAAGTGATCTCTTTCCAAAAAGCTAGCCTCACTCTCTTGGGCCCTTATAAAATATGCTACAGTAAAGGTAGTGTATGATATAGCATTATATTTAGGTACAATCCACAGAAACCAAAAATTATCGAAAGATGGTAATTTTCCTGATTGAGTTTCGTAGTCTAGATGACACTGTAGGCAGGATTGATCTAAATGGGTAATAAATGAGATTTTATGATCCTCAAATTCCTTATGAGCAGCTATATGTTGTCAGACAGTTAGTAGGTATTGTTTCTCAGTGATATGATCAGTGCTAGATTCCTCCAGATCACTAAATACTAATTTGTCACACGTGGCCTTAATCTTATAAAATTCAATAAAATGTTTTAGGTCGTTAATGTTGCTTTGTAAATATTTAAGACGATTGATTGAAATAGTTTCTTCGTTCTCTAATGATTTATACTAGAATTGAATCTCAGCGATTCGCAGCTGAAGTTAGAGGAGAATAAGTCCTACAGCTACTATTAATTGTCTAAGTATCCTTCGCATATGTTTAATTTGTCAGATTGGTTTTTATTCTACCCAACTTGCACCAAATTGTTATTTTACGATACTATTGACTGAAAATTAGTATTAACGCAAGATTAACAAAGGGATTTAGCTTTTATTCAATACTTTTTAGGGAGAACTTTGAAAGGTTTATAAATGATTATTATTTCAAACGATAATGTATATTTAGAATAAACTTTGAGGATTTATTAAAGAATAAAGAATTCGATACAATTATATTTGTTAACATATAACTGTTATTAGTATTTATCTTGTTGGTGATAAAACTAA